CAGAGCCAGTCTTCCTCAGCAAAAAGAGGAGGATTAGCACGGATGTTAGCTCAGGGCTGATCGTCCTCACAAAAAAAAAAATTTTTTTAATAAAAATAAAAGAAAAAAAGATTTTGAGTGTTTGGATTTCTTTTAACGCACAATGGTAAGCAAAATGTGACTCTAAATGCTACTGTATACCTAATATTAAAAATTCACATCCAATACAAACAATCACTTTAATCCTCTGACACATGAGACATTGGGCAAGCCCAGATAAAAACTAGCTAATCAGCATGACTTGAGACACTTGAATATACATGCAATGTGGGGGCATTCTCACCTCTCTGGCTGTGTGATCCCCCAGGACTGCAGCACCAAATTTGCCCTGCTTTACATATTGACCATTTATGCTACAGAAGCAAGAAAAACAACAGGTATTAATACTTCCTTAAGCCAAGTAGAACCAGCTTTCTTTCCTGCCATACAGAAGTGGGGCATCTAGTCATTCAGCTTCTAGAAAGGGACAGAGGTGAGCAGTTTATAATTTAAAGCTCTTACACAACTTCCTTACTCTTTAAATATCTATTGTTCATGACAGCTCAGTGGAGTGGCTTTCTCTGAGCACTTAGAAAGGCAGCTGTTGAGGATACAAGCACTTCCCAGCGAGAGAAGACAAGATAACGGCTCTTCAAGGTTTTATGTGCAGAACTCTCCAACCGCAATGTTGAAAAGCATTATTGATACTTTGTCTATGGAAGGGCTGAGTAGCCATTTCGCAATGAACAGAGGCTTACTGAGAAAAAATAGGAGCTTAACCCACCCTGCAACTTCAGAAACCGCTCCCTCTCGGCTACTTACCATCGATATGCATGGACTGCGGTTGCAAACAGTACGGTGGAAGTACCAGTTACGGTGGAAGTACCAGTTGTGGCGGGTGCTGCTTTCGGTGTTGCCTGATTTCCTGAAGATGAAGAAGAAAACAAAGTTGTCCTTCATTTCTTGCTTGAAACTGATTTTTAACCATTAAAGCAGCTTCAAATTCTTCTTTACATCTTCTAGTTAGTGGTATAATCGTTTCATGACCATTAGCCTCATTTGATCCACAAACAATCCTGTGACCTTGTTTGGGGATGAGGAAACTGAGGCTCTAAGCACCCAAGTGCCTTACACAATGATGGCAGCCAGCCTAGGACTGGAACCCAGGACTCTGGCTCCACTCCAAACAAGTCTTTGGGCTGAAGAAGGAGCACTGTCTAGACAGCCAGGTCATAGTCCATCTACTTTCTTTCCTCCTTCCAATATTTTGACAACTATAATAAGTTAAAAATAGTTATTTCCCCTTCTCTTACTTCTGGGGTAGAAAATTTATGACATTTAGATCACATCAATTACTTAACTTTCGCAGTGGTATACAGTAAAACTAACGTTTTAAAATAGTATATTTGGAGCAAATTGCATATTTACACTCTGCACATGAATCTGTTGATGGAAGAGTAGTGAGAACACTGCACGGACATAGTAACCAAGAATTTATTTTCAAAAGTATCCTGGTTTGATTTCTTTTTTCTTTTTTGTATTGTTAAAAACAAGACAACAGGGGCCAGTCTGGTGGCATAGCAGTTAAGTTCGCACACTCCACTTCGGTGGCCTGGGGTTCGGCAATTCGGATCCTGGGCGCAGACCTTTGCACCTCTCATCAAGCCATGCTGAGGCAGCGTCCCACATAAAGCAACTAGAAGGATGTGCAACTATGACATACAACTATCTACTGGGGTTTTGGGGAGAAAAAAGGAAAAAAGGAGGAAGACTGGCAACAGATGTTAGCTCAGGGCTGATCTTCCTCAAAAAAAAGAAACATAAAGACAGCAGGCCCCAAATGGAGTTACTTATACTAAGTCCCACCAAACCGGGACTTAATTACAGTTTCAGCTCTCCCAGAAATGGAGTCTTAAACCAGTCCATCAGGAATTGCCTCATCAGCACTAGTTAGGTAATCTGCCTGATAGACCCCTGCCATTCTCTAAAGGAATGTAACCTTGCAATAACCGACCCACTTTTTTGCCTAGTATAACTTACTTGTTCCTGCTCCCTTCTGTCTATAAAAGTCTTTCATTTTGTACAGCTCCTCAGAGCTCCTTTCTATTTGCTAAATTGGATGCTATCCAACTCATGAATCGTTAAATAAAGCCAGTAAGATCTTTAAAATTTACTCATTTGAATTTTGTTTTTTAACAGTACTGACATTTTTTTCTGATTACAGAGTATATGTACATCATAGAAAACTTACAAATATAGAAACATATAAAGAAAATAAAAATAACCTCTATTCTCACCACCCGAAAATAAACATTAATAATTTGAGGTATTTATTCCTAGTCCTTTTTCTATACACATAAGCTTTTTTATTATCTTTTTTTAAACAAAATTAATGACATGATTTGACAACCTCCTTTTCTCACTTAGTTATACGCATTTCCTTATACTCTTCAAAATAGTCTCCGAAACAAAGACGAAAGAGTCCGAAAAATGTTTTTTGGTGATTACATAAAATACTACATTATGACTCTACTAGAATTTATCTAATTTCTTACTGTTTTCCATTTCTTTGGACTGTTCCCAATTTTTCTCTATCATAAATAATGCTATAGTGAATATCCTTAAAACACACTTTTTTATATGTACCTCTAATTCCTTTCTTGGAATAAATTCCTAAAAATGCAATTATAGGGTAAAGGAATGTAAACAACTTTGTTTTGTTACATCTTGCCCAAACGCCATTGAGAAATGCCATACCAGTTTACACTCCCACTGGCAGTATGAGTGTGCCAGCTCTGCAACCCTGCCCACAAGGGGGGATCATCTTTTTAAACCTTTACCAAGGGGAGGGGGGCAGTAGAGAAAGGGGAATGCCATCTCATTGTTGTTTTCATTTGCATTTATTGATTAGAGGGAAGCAGAAATTTTAACATTTTCTATAGATTTGTATTGGCCATTTGTTTTGATGAACTGCCCATTTATGTTGTTTGTTTATTTTCCTAGTCTGGTTTTCCCTATTATTTTGTAAAAACCTACGACATAGTTTTGAATTCAATCAGTACTTTCCAGCTGTATGTAATACTACAATAAACCTTTTCTGGGGCCCGCCCGGTGGCGCAGCAGTTAAGTGCTCTCGCTTTGCTTCGGCAGCCTGGGGTTCGCAGGTTCGGATCCCAGGTGCGCACCGATGCACCACTCATCAAGCTATGCTGTGGCAGCATCTCACATAAAGCAGAGGAAGATGGGCACAGATGTTAGCCCAGGGCCAATCTTCCTCAGAAAAAAAAAAAAAAAAAAAGAGGATTGGCATCGGGTGTTAGCTCAGGGCCAGTCTTCCTCACAAGAAAAATAAATAAGTAAAAATAAATAAATAAATACACAAGTCTTTTCTTCTGATAAGCAGTGTATGACAGGAAAAAGAGTAACTAAGGCCAGAGTTAGGTTATCAGGACAAGTCTGAAACACTGAGAAAAATTACTGTCTCCCAAGGTCAGTCTAGCAACCTCCTTCAGGTTTGTTCAACTTCTCCCAGTACACGCTATCTCCCTACCTAACGCCCTGGAAATGGAAGGTTATTTGTGGATTTGCTAGAGGGATAAATGAGTCAGACATCCACAATCATGTGATCTCCTCATTGGCGACACATTTCTTCCTCTTGGAAATCAGTGTTGTACAGATTCTTGAATTTCCTACTCACGAGGACTTCTTTTAATACATAGTTTCGAATCTTTTTTTTTGAGCAAAGTTTTCTTGAGTTAGTTTTTAGTGTCTGTTCTTTTACCCCCTGCTTTTTCTTCTTCTTCAGGGAATATATATTCCATACGTTGGATCTTCTTTGCTATCTTCAATACTTGTCGCTTTCCTTTAAAACCTTTTCTCTCTTAAATTTTTTATTTTTATCTAAAAAATTTCTTCCTCTTACTTTCTATTTCTCCTAAGGCATAATCTGTTATGTTTATTCATTCTTGTGTTCCTTCTAATTTAGTCTTTGTTTCTGAAATAATTTTTCTTTCATCTCTAATTCTTGTCCAAGTCCTGTCACTTCTGAGATTTTCTAATTCTCATTTATGTTCTCATTTCACGTCTTATATTTTCTTAATGTGAACAGGTGGTTGTAGTTTCGATCTATTTGGTAAGAAAATCTGACAGAATAGAACTCTCACTGTCTATAGGGATATTAATCTGTTCCTTGCTCTCTTTGTTCTTATAATAACTTTGCATGGAGCTGGACTCTGATACTGTTCTATTGCTCATTTTTATGTGAAATTTGCTTTTCTGAACTTTCAGAAGGAGACGTGGTTCAGGGTGGCTTTCCTAACTTCATAGAGCTCCCTCTTCTGTTGTTTTCGTATAGAGTTCAAAAATAGGGTGGCTTCCTCCTGAGACTTCCTGACTCTATTTCTATCCTTACTTTTATGTGGATCTTCTCTCCTTCACTTCTAATAACCCTATATCTCAGTTTTAATTCCATTCCCAGCAGATTCTTCTCAGTGTGAGGATCTGTCCTGAAAGGTCACCACAGTCGGTGAGTTTCAAAAGTTCACAGGAGCGAAACTGCTCCAGTTCTTTTAGTCCCCATCACCCACCCCTTGTACATACCCACTAAGTGGGTAAAACGCTTTTCAGTTTCAGCTTGGCCTGCCATATTTTCCATGGACACCTGTTGGCTATTTTGGGTTCTCCTTGTCTCAAATTCAGACATGCTCCCACTGCTTCCCTGCTTTCTCCCATGCAAATACTGATACTACGCAAGTCTCGTGGCTGTTAGTGGTTTGTCCATACCTGTTCATATTTGGGGGTTCATGAGGATATCTTTTCAATTGGTTTTGTTGTAAATACTATCCGCAGTTTGTCTTTTATATCTAGTTGCCCTGTCTGTTTCTATATTGAAATCTGAAGAGATTCAAGAACTATGCTGCAGCCATCTTCCCCACAAAGACTTGTTATATAAACATCCCTTGACCAGAGAAGGTCTCCTGTATTGCTACTTTATTTTTTATTTGTAAATGCCTACATAAGACTGTATAGGTAATTTTTTAAAGTTGAAATGCCTCTATGATTCCCCTTTAAAAGTGTAATTAACTCGGGGCCGGCCCAGTGGCGTAGCGGTTGGCTTTGCGCCTTCCACTTTGGCAGCTTGGAGTTCGCTGGTTCGGGTCCTGGGCACGGACCTACTCACGGCTCATCAAGCCATGCTGAGGCGGCGTCCCACGTAGAAGAGCTACAACTCTACAACTGTGATACACAACTATGTACTGGGACTTCGGGGAGAAAAAAAAAAGAGGAAGACTGGCAACACATGTTAGTGCAGGGCCCATCTTCCTCAAAAAAAAAGAAAGAAAAAATATATAATTAACTCATAGTTGTTTTCTGATTTAAAAAAAAAATCAAGTTACTTCATTGGGTGGGGACTGAGGTTGTTTACTCTCATGCACATCCATTAACTCAACCACTTTAAATTGAGTCAGAAGCACACTGCTGATGAAGAGATGTGCCAGAGGAAATGTAAAGGCATACACAGCCTACTAGAAATCTGGTCAGGCTATAGCTTAGAGAACGGGAGCAGCAATCCACAGCAAAGCTGCCACAAGTGACAGGTAAGATTTAGAGCAGGGGGTCAGCAAACATTTTCTGTAAAGGGCCAAACATTAAATATTTCAGACGTTATAGGCCATACGGTATCTGCTGCAACTATTCAACTCTAAATATCCTAACAGCATCCTCAGTGCCAGGATTGTGCCTAGCACATAAAAGGCACTTAATACTTTCATCTTCAACCAACGAATATTTAATTTAATGTCCCTCACCATCTGTTCTGCTCAGGGCGATTTCCACCAGTCCCTCACTCCTCTTCAGGATCTTACACAAAGACAGCAAAGAACAGAGGCAGAAAGAAAAGCTTTGGAGTGAGTCAGAGCAGGGTTCAAATCTCAACTCTGTCACTTAGCGCTGTATGACCTTGATCAAGTCCCTAAACCTCTCTGAGCTTCTAAAACGGTGGTGGTCTCACCTATTTCACAGAATTGTTATAAGAATTAAATATGAAAATCTATGTAAAGCACCGAGACCAGATACACAGTAGGCGTTTTAGACACATTAGCCCCCTTTTTCTCTCCTTTCATTCAACAAATGTTCATTCAATGCTTCTTGTGTCCGTCATGATGAAAGGCATAGGGGAAGAGCACTGAGCATCGCTGTCTAGTTGGGAATAACTCACCGTCAGCATACATCTAACCCATCCAGGTGAATGATGTGAAAAGCAGCTCCTTTCTCGCCCAAACATGGGAAAGAGCCTACTTCGAGTGCCCTGCTCAGGATTTTGAAGAGTGGCACCCACATGGGGCAGAAGAGCTTGCCTGCGACCGTCCTCCATCAGTTTCCAACAAAGGGCACTATCTAGCTGCCGGAATTCAGGATCTCAGAGCTTAGACAGGCACGCACCATTAATGGTAAGCTTGGCCAGACTGACCGAGGATGGACGACTTGGCAAGTTACTTTTGGAAGGCTGTCTATCCTTCCAACTAACCTGCTAGGGGTCCATGCTAACCTCTTAACTTACCTGTTGCTGCTGTTCCCTGGCCTTTCTTAGGCTGCTTTGGGGCTGTATACTGGAAGAATTCATTTCCATGGCCAGCAGCTGCCTGATCCAGTCCAAAGAGAGAGGCCAATCTGGTACTGTTAGTAGAAAATGAAAATGACATTTCATTGGACATATCTCAAATCTGGAATCATTATAAAAGCTGCTCACCTCCAACCTTGAACAAATAAATCCCTCCTTGACCGTATATCCCACCATTCAATATTGAAGTGGCAGCTAAGTGTCTCTGAAATCCAGATTGTATTTCTGATCTGAACAGCATCAGTTCACCTTGCCCGTCCACAGGACTTTGGTCAAGGCATTTCTACTTTCTGGACCTCAGCTTCTGCATCTGCAAACTGAGCTGATTGGTCCAGATGTTCTCTACGGTCTCTTCAAACTGTAAATTCTTGCCTATAGCAAGTCAGTTTCCTACTTTTTACTAGTTTGTTAAATTGAAATAAAACTGCACTACAAACTTACTCCATCAAACATGGTCCCATTTATCATTTCATCTAAGAAGAAGAACCATTCTTTTATCATTCTTTGCAATGACTCATGCTCCAACCATTCCACTAGATTTCTCTTGCTAAGGTCACTAACAACCTTTTTGTTACTAAACACAGTTTATGAGTCCTTATCTTATTTGGCCTTCATGCTGCCTTTTTACACTGTCAACTAATTTGTTCTTCTTTAAACAAACTCTTTTCTTGACTTCGATGGGGACACCTGGGGGTGGGAGGAGGGACAGGCCCAAATAAGACATCAGTAAATGCTAATGGGATCTCTCTCTTGTTGTCTTCCCATCTCTCTGGCTCCTCATTTAACTCCCTGGATTCTTCTTCCTTTGCCCAACTTTTAAATGTCCATGCCCCCAAGATTTCATCCTCTCTCTCCCTTGGCAATCTTAATTTATTTACTGTGGTATCAAGTGCAATTCAAATGCTGATGATGCTCAAATCTGTATTCCCACCCCAGAATTTGCTCCTGAGTGCCAGACAACAGATACCCCACAGGCCACACAAATACAACATGTCCTAAGCAGAACTCATATCGTCCAGTCCCCAATGCCCCAGCAAAACCTATTCTTACTCTTGTGCTTCCTCTCTCAGTGAATGACATTTTGTGTTGGGGTCCCCAAGACCACCCTCAAGTTCAGTGATTTATTAGAAGGACCACTGCATTCCACATATAGTTGTACTACTCATGGCTAAGATCTATTACAATGAAAGGATACACAGCAAAATCAGTAAAGGGAAAAAGTACATTGGGGCAAAGTTCAGGGGAAACCAGGAGCAAGCTTCCAAGAATCCTCTCCCAGTGGAGTGACACAGGACAAGTTTAATTCCTCCTGCAACTAGCTGTAACAACATGTGTAAAGTGTGGTCTATCAGTCATTAGAGACTCAGGCCCAAGGTTTTTTACTGGGGGCTGGTCATATAGAAATCCTCCAGCATGTACCAAAATTCTAGACTCGCAGAAGGAAGGCAGGGTTCAGTACAAACTCTACTGTTTGTACAAACAGTTTAGGAACAGTGAGCACTCATTTACGGAGAGCTTTGTATCAGTGTGGGAAACCGTTCGCCAATCAAGCTCCCAGATGCCAGCCAAGTGCCAACCTTGTAAACAGGAAGTTCTGAGGGTAACGGTCTCAGGTCTACTATGTTAACTCTTTTCTGCAAACATCCACAACCGAAACTGAAATCTGGGCATCATCCTTGACTTTTCTCCCCCCTGGTTCATGACCAATCCCCGAGTCCATTTGATTTTACTTGCTAAATATTTCTTGAACCCATTCACTTCTCACCATTCTCACCGCTGCTTCCCGAGTTCAGGCCACCATCACATCTATCTAGCTTGAAATATTGCAACAACCTCCTGACTCATTGCCCTGCCTTGGTCTTGCCTGCTTCTTATCCATTCTCCCCACTGCACCCACACTGATCTTTCTAAAAACCAAATTTGACCAAGTCTCTTTCCTCTTTAAAAACCCTCAATGACACCTCAATATTACCAAGATAAAAAAACCAGACTCCACAAGACAGCTTTACAAGGCCCTTCAAGACCTCGTCTCTCCTTACTCCCCCAGCTTCCTCTCTGGCCATTTCTCATCTCCAACTGTGTGCCACAGCCATACAGGGGTACTTTTAGTTTCTCAAATAAGGCAAGATCTTTCCAAACTCCAGCCCTTGCACACGCTGTTCTGTCTGCCTGAAACATTCTTCCTGTTCCTCCTCTCCCCTGGAAGCTGCCCCTAATCTCAAAGTCTAGGCTAGATGATCTGGCTAGGGGCTCCCACAGAACTCCATACTTCATTCATTCAAGAAATATGTGTCACACACTGTGCTAAGTGCTGGGTACACAGTGGTGAGCAAAACTGCATTCTATTTTCAAGGAGCTTATATATTCTAACAAGGGAATTAGACGTTACATAATATATAATTGCAAACTGTAATATGAGATATATAATAGGCAGATATATACTCCATAGAGATTATAACACAGTAATTATTTATTATAATCACCACTGGACTGTATATTTTGCCTACGGTCTAGTATGTAATATGCCCAATAAATGAACTCAAAGTCTAGTCTAGTTCTGAGCTCCTCTTCTCCAAAGGCATCCTTAGTTTAGGTGAAGTCAATATTTAAACTCTCCAACAATTTTTTTTGGCCTTTTTTCCCAATAATTTTAATGTATATTATATACTAGCATTTTGCAAAATAAATTTAATATGATTTGAAACTATTACCTTGTTTTCTCAAGGTACTATAAGTTTCCTTTAAATTTCCTGTAAATGAGGCAAACAATGCCTACTTTATTTATTTATTTATTTTTTGGTGAGGAGATCAGCCCTGTGCTAACATCTGCCAATTCTCCTCTTTTTTTTCTTTTTTTTTTTTTTTTTGCTGAGGAAGACTGGCCCTGGGCCAACATCTGTGCCCATCTTCCTCCACTTTATATGGGACACCACCACGACATGGCTTCCTAAGCAATGCGTCAGTGTGTGTCCGGTATCCGAAGCGGCGAACCCCAGGCCGCCGCAGTAGAGTACGCGCACTTAACCGCTTGCACCACCGGGCCGGCCCCAACAATGTCTACTTTAAAGGGCTAAGAGGTTTAAATGAGATTGCAAGTGTAGAGAGCAGTGCTGGCCTAAATAAGACATCAACAAATGCTTACGAAATTTAGAAGAGACCAAGATTTCTCCTTTTAACGAGGGTAATCTGGGTAGATCCCCTAAAAGAATAAGATTCTGGGAAAGTTGGGCAATGCCTTTAACATAGTGAAAATTTACAAAGCTGAGAACCTAGTTAAGATATAATGGCTGATACACAGACAATTGATAAGAAAAAAATGTCCTTGTTAACTTCAGTAAACTATGGGTATTGAATTTACTATTTTAATTCTGCAAGTATGTTTTATTTCAAGGGAAAGACAGAAAAGTGTCATAGTTCTATGTTTCCATAGATGCCCTAAAGGCCAGCCAACTGATTGTAAAAGCAATCCAAAAGCCAGGTCAGGGCTGGTCCTGTGGCTTAGCGGTTAAGTGCGTGCGCTCCGGCCATGCTGAGGCCACATCCCACATACAGCAACTAGAAGGACGTGCAGCTATGACATACAACTATCTTTGGGGGAAAAAATAAATAAATAAAATTACAAAAGCCAGGTCAACCCAGTTATCTTTCAGATTAATTCTAGTTTCTATTGATATTTTAAAATGAACTCTATACAGACTTAGGGGCATAAGTTTCTTGTAAATTATTACATTTTTACACTTTTGAAGTGTTCTCAAACGTAGACATCTCTCTAACTATGTTAGCAAGAAAGGGCTTGCTAACTCTAGGCCTGAGTCTCTATGTTTATAATTCACGGCAAAAGTCATTACAGTACTAACTACACTTTAAAAGTAAATGTTAGGGCCGGCCCTGTGGCGTAGCGGTTAACTGTGTGCACTCCACTGCTGGCAGCCCGGGTTCGGATCCTGGGCGCGCACCGATGCACCTCTTATCAGGCCATGCTGTGGCGGCATCCCATATAAAGTGGAGGAAGACAGGCACAGACGTTTAGCCCAGGGCCCGTCTTCCTCAGCAAAAAGAGGAGGATTGGCATGGATGTTAGCTCAGGGCTGATCTTCCTCACAAAAAAAAAAGTAAATGTTAGCCAATGCATTTAGTTGCCAAAGTCCCTACTTAGCCTTAGTTTTATACTCCTTTTCTTTTCTCATCATAAATAATAACACACGCATTTATATTGTATCAAAATATTTTAATAAACAGGGATTCTTTTTGTTGTTAAAGTACTTCTTTTATGATCTGTGGCATTAAATATCTACTTCTATAATAATAATAATGGCACATGGGCAGTCTGGTGGAAATCTGCTTGCCTGATTTCAAATCCAAGCTCTTTTGCTTTTTAGCTGTGTGACCTCAGGCAACTTACCTCTCTGAGCCTTAATTTCCCCTTTGTAAAGTGGGTATAATAGTAAAAACTACCTCACAGAGTAGTAGGGAGAAGTAAATATGATAAAGTATATATAGTACTCAGTACAGTGCCTGGCACTGAGTAAGTACACAATATATGTTTTATATACATGTGCACACACTCTATTACCTTAAAATGTCGATTCAATTCAGCTACCCCTGTAAGGGAGAAAGCATGCTCAATCAATGCACAAACTGACCTGCACCTATAAACTGATATCATCATAAATACAAAACAATAGAACTGGAAAGGTCTCAAAGATCACCCAGGGCAAATCCCATTACTCAACAGACTGGGGCATGGAGAGCCAAGGATGGGAAGTGACTTGTCCAAAGTCACACTCCTAACTGGGGTAGAATCAACATTAGAATCTAGGCTTTTCCATATCTTTTACAGAACTTAAAAATGCTTTCTGATGATCAGTTCTAGATTTATCTTTTTTCTATCTTTACACTGATTTATCATTACCATGCCTACATATTACTTTTATATAATCTAAAACACAAGTATATACATAACTGGCCCTTTAAAAATGCTTTGTGATTATTATTACTGGATTGATTTTACTCTACTACAAAAATGGAAGTTTTTTAGGGGCAGGAACAGTGCCTTATTCCTATCTGTATTAGCGAAAGCCAAGAACCATACACTTAGCAGGCATTCACATATTTCTTCATTTTAAAGTCACAATAGTGGAGAAAAGGCTAAGACCAAAAAAAAAAGCAAGCCTCCTGAGTACCATTTCTAGGTTAACCATGGACTTGAAGAGGCCTGGAAACTCGAAACAGATTATCAATCATCTAGACAGCCATCCCAGCACTAACACTCTCACTTCTACTATGCTAAATGGAGTATCCTAAACAGAGTCAAGTAAGTCATATATTTAAGTCAAGACATTTGAAAATTAATAAGCAAGTATATTTACAGTAAATTACAGTTAGAAAGAGGAACTGAAAAGGAGCTGCCGTGCTCACTGTCATGCGTTCTATTTCCTTAGAGAAAACCAAAAAAGGAATAGCTGAATCAGAGAATGTTGGTGAAACTTCCTATATTCTCAATCTTAAATTTGATTGGTTTTTCTGGTTATTACTGGGAACAAAAATAAGTTATCTGTATAACTTTGTTTACTAAGCCTTTTATCATTCAATTAGCTGTTGTCTATGTTTAGGAGCACAGTCACACGCCTAGAACTAAAGTGTTTCCGGTCCTTGATGAGCCTGCTCAGGAAAGCAGCATTGCTGAGCCACCAAGAACTTATCTCAGCCCAGGAATCTGGAAAAGAGCACATGACTGTCATTATCTACCGTGTAATTTTCAGTCAGCAGTGGACTGCTTGTTGCACAAAAGTTGAGAGCCCTACCATTCACAGACTTCCCCCAAATACTTTCATCTAGTGAAGAATGTGAATTTAAAGTAGATCTTGTAAACTTTCAAAAGGCACAGCCACATACAAAACAGGCTTGTATGAAAAAACACGAATTCAAAAGGCTCAATACACAATCAACAGCAGCAGGCTGGACTCTGTGGAAATTTTAGTGAATGTTTTGGGTGGAAGAGGGAAAAAAGGAACCAAAGCACAGCTTAACTCTCTGAGCAACTAAAAGAACCCCAAATGGAACTAAGTGGATGTAGGCCATCTAAAGCAGGGGTGGGGTAGAACAGGGTGGTGAGAGTGAAAAGAAGAACTTCAGGACAGGTAGTACAGAGCTAGTCACAGTGTAAGTCAAAAGATCCTATTTTTAAGGCCAGTGTCATTTTATGGTCATTCATGTACTGAACTCTCCACCAGGACTGGAAGCGACCTGAGGGCAGACACAGCAGCTTAATCATCTTCGTAACGTCTCAGCATTTAGTAGAATGAGGAGTATGTGTTGGTGTATTCATCATTCTTCAGTACACTCTGAAATTTGTTAAACAGATGTTCGAAGACAGGCTCTGCAAGAATCAGAACTTGGCAGCTCACAGGTCTGAAGGGAGTCAAGCTGTCTACTGACAGAACACAAGGGAAAAGGCTAAAGTGATTACTGGAAGAGATAAAGCCCTGCCTCTTGAAAACTTGTACCCCAGGCTAGTATAACAATGACTGGGACAGAGGATAGCGACCACAGTCTCTTACATTGGTTTTAAGCTTTAGAGTGCAATTTCACAGATATTATTCATTCAACAGGCACTTCCTGAGCAATCGATATGTGCCAGGTACCGTGCTGAGCGCTAGACAGAGATGACCAACATATGCAGTCCCAGTCCGGTCAGGGACTCGTAATCTAGTAGGTTCGGTGTGCAAGGATAGACTGAAACACGCCTAGCTGTGGGAATAAGGAAGACAAAGCAATTTATTCTGCCTGGGGCCGTAGGAGAACGGAAACCATCAAAAAGGTGACATCCGAGCTGGGCCTTGAAGGATGCTGGAGCTGACCCACCAGGCCAATTCTGAAGTGTCACCGCCTCGTGCATGGAGAAAAAAGTCTCACACTGGCCCCAGCTGACTCCTATAAAAACTCTGAGGCAGGTCTTCCCATCAGCAATCACCCCCATTTCACAGAAAGTGAAACTGTGACCCAGAAAGGAAAAGGCGAACCGCAGGGTCATTCTGCGTGTGCGCGGAGATGTCGGGTCCACGATCCAGGCGGACAAACTCAGTTGCGAGCTCTGCCCAGATTCTGAGACCTGCAGAGCACCGGAATGCGGCAAGGGTGTGGACCCGGAAGTGGGGAGAGGTCTGATAAGAGATCTACCCCTTCAACATTTTGCCCGGCTCTCTCAGCCACGCCCTCTGCCCCACGCTTCTCAGTCACTCACCCCCCGCTGGGCGAGAGGAAGTCGGCGTCGTCTTCATCGACCGCACCGAACATTGCGCTGGCTTTCCTCCGGCTGCTGGGAAGAACTCGGGGTTCTTCTCGGACCTTTCACCGCCGACGTCGTGAAATGGCGCGCGGCGTCTGCTTTCCGGCGGGGCGGAGACAAGCCGCGGGAGGAGGTGGAGCCACGGCACAGGGGAGGGCCTCGTGGGACGCGCGCCGCGTGGCGTTAGGATTCTCTAGCCAGCAGAGGCGGTGAAATACGCGGGAGCGCCGAAGTCCTGCGCAGGATTGGCCAGCGGAGCAGGCGGGGGCGGGGCAGAGACCGCGTTCAGTGGCGGTCTCCGACACGACGAGCCGGGCAGAAGTGGAGGGGCTTCCGAAGAGTGGTGGAGGGGTGAAGGGTTACGATTCTGAGAAGGAGGCGCCGGTGGCGCGACTGGATCTAGGAAGGTAAGCCCCCCTCCCCCCGCCCCTTTCGCAACCCTGGCACGGGCACAGTCCTTTCCCCTTCGGGACAAGGACCCTCCATGCCACTCTTCTCAGCTTGGCGAAAGGAGAAAGGGCCCGGGACTGGCCGTCTGCAGATCCGAGCTTTCGGCCCGGCCCCTACAGTGACATAACTGAAGTGACCTTGGGGCAAGGTGTTCGGTGCCTCAGTTTCCCCATTTGTAAAAATGGGCGTGACGCCCCTACCGCTTGTTCCCTGTGGCCGACCTCGCTATTTATTCAACGGGCTATTTGTCCAGTGCTTCCTGTGCCGGCTGGTTAAGAAGCTTTTAGACCTCAGAGGTCATCGAATTCAATCCGTGTTCCAGAATTGATGGATAGGAAGAGGAAGGAACTAAACACTCTGATGACTTAGACGGGCTGGATCGCTGGTCTCTTGATTCGGGACTTTAGTGAGCTGATGGGTGAACAAGAACCTTATCAGCCCTTAAGCACTGCGTGCCTTACAGAGTGGTCGTTGCGAGACTGTGGCTTACATCTTGAGAGAAGGCCCCTCTCTAGAGTCCACCTATGCAGGAGAGCTGGAATATTCTCGGGATGGGCGATGGAAAGGAGGAAATTTTAGAAGCTGAAAATCCACAGCCCCGACCTTGGCCTGGGTTTTGCTTAGTCTTCCTGCCACAGATCTAAGTCAACATCAGTTGTTGCTGACTTCTCTGCCTCCAGTCCATCCTCCCTGTATCTTATGTAAGTGTTTCTTTGGTTAACCTGGTATAATTCTTGGCACAATCTCCGGGTGGGCCTGGCTTAGCCAAGTTGTGGATAAGCAGATAATGTCCCACTGTAGCGTCCATTTCCATAGATCTCCCTGGAGTTCTTTTACTCGATGCTTCTCTCAGTCAGGTTCGCACAACAGGTGTCCCTTACCTGAATGTCTCAATCTGTTAGCATGAAATTGAAGTGAAGTGATTTGTAGCTCCCTCCCGGAAAACTCCATAGCTCCTAGTACTTCCCTTGTTCCGCGTTTTATTATAGTTTATGTACTTCTACCACATTGTAAGCTCCTCAAAGACGGGGGCAATTTTATTCATCTTGGTGTCTCCTGTGTCACGGAGCACCATCTTGCCCATAATGGCTTAATTTTTTGTTAGATTGAGTAATTCTTCCCTTATTCCTTAATTTACTCTCTTAGGACTTTTTTCCCATGTGACCCAAAGAGGCCAGTAGTTGTTCTTGCCTTCTATAGATAGCTTCCAGAAAGAGAAAAATGTTGTACTAGCTGTGAACTCTCTGGGTTACTTAGCCTCTTTTGTTAATTGAAGATGATTTTACTAATGTTTAAAACTCTAGGGGAGGGGAAAGAGGGGAATAGGATAGCGAGAAATATTATATGTAACTCTAATTTTAGTTAGTAAAGTATTCCTCTGTAAACTGAGAGAGAGGGCTGTTGTCCACTTCCTTGTTTATTTTACAGATTAAGATGGTGGGAGCAATGAAGGCTGACAGTGTTAACGCAATGATGTAACTGGAGTCTTAGCACATAACTGGAACTCTTTGCGGTAGTTCTGTTTAGAAAGTGGACTTGGCTACCTCTCAGGAGAAAAAAAGAATGAACCGCATAAGTAACATAGCTCTTTGTAATCCCTCTCCCCAGTTCTGGTCCTTGTCCTTCCAGCGCTGAAGCATCTGAGTAGTGCTTTGAAAAAATGCTCAAGGATCCTTTGAACGCTTATCTTTCGTTCTTGCCTGGGGGCATTTTCATCCAGCGTGGTTAAGTAGCCTTTTTAAATGCCGAAATCCTAAAATCTGGATCAGCCGTTTTGATATTTGGGACACCAAAATATGCATTCCCGGATCACTGTTGTGGAAACACGGCTGCTGGTTCTGATTGGCAGTATGAGGAAGGGAAAGATAGTGGTGAGGCTTCCTCAGTCTCTCAGGTTTTAAACTGCAGGATTGGGTGCACTTAAAAAGCCACTGTTTTCCTGAATTAGAATATTGGACTAGGATTCACAAAACCTGAATTTTCATCCCAGCCCTTCTAACTCACTGAGCTTTTGGCCCTGGCTCCCTAAACACTTTCTAAAAGGAGTGGGTTAGACCTAGACATCTAAGTACTGCTAGGGATACAGAGGTTAAGTAAGGCACAACTTTGGTCTCAAGTTTGAATTAAGTGTTTTGTTTGTTTTGCTTAAGTACACAGCTTTTAGATGCATTTATAAAATGTATTGACCCCCTGAAGGTTAACCAGGAAGCAGCAGTTTTAACAATTCCTTTCAAATTATCAGCAGTTTTGCTACAGAGATGACAGTTTTTATGTACAGGTACACCCATACTCATCTGTACTGGTGAATGCATTTTAAAATTAATAGTTTAAAGTTATAACCAAGTTAGATCATAGGTGTGGTGATAGGGATATGAACTGAAGATAGGTTTGGCGAGTTGGTATAGTGTTCATTCTGTTCAGTCGCTGAAAACGCAAAAAAGTCAGAACACAATTCAAGAAATATCGTCTGAAAACCTGCTATGTGTACAGCACTGTGATGGGTGTTGCCTGGGATAGGAAAATGAGTAAGTCATTGTTCCTGTCCCCGAAGTGCTTATAGTTGAATAGTGGGGTTAAGCAAAGTATGGGAATAACCATAATAGAAGACATAGCAAGGGGCTGGCCTGGTGTCATAGCGGTTAAGTGCTCGTGCTCCCCTGCGGTGGCCCAGGGTTTGGATCCTGGATGTGCACTGACATACCACTTATCAAGCCATGCTGTGGCAGCGTCCCATATAAAGTGGAGGGAGATGGGTATGGATGTTAGCCCAGGGCCAGTCTTCCTCAGCAAAAAGAGGAGGATTGGCAACAGATGTTAGCTCAGGGCTGATCCTCCTCACAAAAAAAAAAAAGAAAAGAAGACAGCGAAATAAGTGCCATAAGTAGAAATTAATTATTGTAGGATTTCAAAGGAAGAAGAGATCATATCTAGTTTGATGGAGGGTGTGAGGTTAGATAGTGGGCTTTGAAGATGAGTGGGATTCCAAGTGAAATTGAGGAAGTAAGGCTTTCCAGGTTGTGGGGGTGGCTTTGGCAAAGGCACAAAGGCAGGAAAGAAGGCCCAGATTTCTTAAAAGAGTTGCCCTCTTATTTGATGCAATTAAGGCCAGTAGCTGGTTAATTGAAAAAGTGAGTTAAAGCAGGGACTTATACAGACATTAGTCACACACAGACCTTAAATATTTTATTTTAACTGAAAACATGAACATCTTTTTGCCATTCGTTTGACATAAACCTTTTCTTGGAGTGTAGATCTCAGGGATCTGCAAACTACAGCGTGAGAGCCAAATCTTGTCCTAGCCTGCTGCCTATTTCTGTAAATAAAGTTTCATTGGAACACAGTCACGCTCATTTGTTTGCATATTATCTATGGCTACTTTCATGTACCAGGTAGAGTTGAGTAGTTGTGTATATCTGCGTGCCTCATCTTCATCTGGTCTTTCCAAAGCTTTCAACTTGGTTTTCATGGAAACAACTATTAGAGAGTCTGTGTAGTATGGTAGTTACATTCTTTTTTTTTTGTGTGTGTGAGGATGATTAGCCCTTGAGCTAACATCTGCCGCCATCCTCCTCTTTTTGCTGAGAAAGGTTGGCTTTGGGCTAACATCCGTGCCCATCTTCCTCTACTTTATGTGGGACACCACCACAGCATGGCTTGACAAGTGGTGCGTCGGTCCGCGCCCAGGATCCCAACCTGTGAACCCAGGGCGCCGAAGCAGAGTGCACGAACTTAACCGCTGTGCCACGGGGCTGGCCCCGGTAGTTACATTCTTAAGCTCTGGAGACAAATTGTTTTGCTGTTTATTAGTTGTATAGGCCTTGGGCAAGTTGCTCAGTTTCCTTCTTTGTAAAGTAGAGACAATGATAGTGTCTAGTTCTTAGGGCTCTGGTGAAGATTTTGAGTTAAAGCACTTAGAACAGTGCCTGGCAGATAGTAAGCACTCAATTAATATTAGCTGCTGCAGTTTTTCTCTTCTCCTTTATACTTCATTGCTTTACATAATACTTGATTGGATTATATATTTACAACAATAAGCACCACTGGCATAAGTTGGTTTGTGAGCAACCACAACTGATACCCTTGATAAGCACACAACTCCCCTGAGAGGGAGAGCGGAAGTATTGCTCCCATGATATTGGAGAACAGCCTAGCTAGTGTGTTATCAGCCAAATTGGTTAGGAGAGTTCTGCGGAGTAGTTTGCTAAGAGTATAAGACAACAGTACACATAGGGAAGTAGTGGACTCAAATTGAAAAGGAGACCAGGGCCATATTTATCAAATACTTTGAAGGCCAAGGTGACAAGTTTGTACTTAGCCCAGTAGGAAATGGAATTTTTTATTCTAAATGACATGATTGATGTGGAAAAAGAATTCAAATGGTTTAGGAGTGTATGAAGTAAAAAATAAATGTTTCCCTAGCCCCCACTCCATGTGAGTAGCCACTTCATTTTTCTAATAGTCCTCAGAATGTGGAGTTGTAAGGATTGAATGAGATAAGGCATGGTAAACACTACTTGGGGCACTGGCATTAATCTGTTAGAAACCTCAATCCAGTCTTTCTTTGCATTATAATCGCAATTTGGAAATGAGGAAAAATGAAGGTTCTAGACTGAATGTGAATAAAGTTAAATGACTGCTGTAAAGATCCTTAAGTCTGTTCCTCTCCTTGTTCTTGTTGCACTTTGGTTCTGCTGTTGATTCCTCTCTGTGCCTTCCTCACCATAAGTGCCACCAAAGAGAAAAAATATGGCATAATTATCACTGGAAAAGCAAATGTTTACAGTGACAAGATGACTTCAACTAGTGGGAGACGTCAGATAAATCAGTGACCAGGCAGCACCCAGATAACTCTGCCATTTAAAGTTGGCAAGCCAGGCATGACGGGGGAAGAGGGAGGGAGGGAGGAGGGCAAGTTGCTGATGCCTGCACTCCCACGTGCGGCTTTTAGCATAATAAT